ACAGGGCTTACCCCCTGTGAATGTGATGCCCATTTCTTGTGTCCCACCCGCTGATATTGTTGAAATATTGCTAAAAGCGGTGTAAAACCACACTCTCTCCCTCCCTCACTCCCTACATTATTCATTGTGCCCACAACACAAGTGTTTTGTTGTTCCTTTCACCCTACATGCATCATTTCATCCATCAGACCACATGATCAATGATTCATTCCATCAAAATGTACAGTTATCTACACTGTTACTTCACAGGACTCACAAGTTGCCTGCAAGGACCCTTAAAACTAATAACTGGGGGTCCTGCGGACCCCATGTTTCTGATTTGAGGTAAAACCCTGACCGCAGATGAAATATAGGTCGACAATACACAGTAATAATATAATGTTGTGAATGAATAAACAGATTGTGAGGTGCCCAATGTTTTACGTCATTCGTCATGCACCCTCTTGTGTGAGGCGACTAACAGGATCGGGTGGTCAGGCTAGCTGACTTGGTTCACACATCGGTTCCCAATTGCGCAGATCGATGCCCATGCTGTTGATCACTGGATTGTCTGGTCCAGACTCGATTATTCACAGACTGCCGCCATATAGCTGGAATATTGCTGAGTGCGGCATAAAACTAAACTCACTCACTCCTCTGTGTGACGTCATCTGAGGAACAAGGAAATATCGTTTGATGTGAAGAAAATTCCTTATTTGTGAGATTTACAATACTAGCCTTGATTAACACAATATTTTCCAAAATGGCCCTATTTCCCTGTGGCTAAATGTTCAACATAAATCACAGCATGCTCATATATATGTACACAGAGGAAAATGCAGATTAACCCCAGAATTTGGAAGCAACTGCAGCACCAAATACTTTCTTTGTATTAATGTTCAAAACACACATGCACATGAGGGTTGGTCATTGTTTTATATTCAGAGTGCATAATGTGAAAACAATAATCTTTATAAAAACACTTCATACTTTATTCATAACACTTGACTATTATTGCACACTGTTGGTCTGTATTTCAATTTCTGTGTATTTTACTACCTACAGTTAGCATGTATAGTGGCATCAAACCCAGCCTATTACTCACTAATACATCCAAACCCTTAGCCCAATGTTCAATCTCCTACCCAGAGTTCCATGCGGCAAGTCAGCATAGTACCTCTGCCACAGCCCTTGCACCGTCCATTTAATATAATGTACATATTTCTTAACTCTTTTATTTTTGACGAGCCTAAACATCTAATTAAACATCTTAGATAGAATGGTTTAACTTCTTTGAGTGGCATTTTAGAAGTTGGGAAGTACAATATAGAACAAACTTTATGGATAACAACTTCTTTTATTCGTGAGTGCGACGTTTAGATACAGATTCTTGTACCGTTGTCAAGCATAACGCTTGACAACGGTACAAGAATCTGTATCGAAATGTCGCACTCACGAATAAAAGAAGTTGTTATCCATAAAGTTTGTTCTATATTAGAATGGTTTAGTTTCACTGAGAAAATATCCTAAAACGTAACACTATTTCGATTTGTGTAGCGATCCTTTGTTTACATAGGTTGTACGGCTCCACGTGCTGTCATCGAAGCCGACAGAGAGCAAACGATGCAACCAGTTTGATATCTAAATATATACTGTCATAAATGTTACTGTCGCAGTTGTGGAAGAATATATATGTAACAATGTAAAACATTGCGAAGAGTGCGTCGAAAAGCTTGCGTAAGGCCAGTCTCTTCTTATTATGAATATGCGCGTTTGTTTACAAACAAGAGAAAAAGTCCGGTCACGTGATATGCAAATTAGCCTGTGGCAGTGATGTTATGCTAAGTCATCACTGTGCCGGAGTGTGCCCAATGTTATGAAAGTAATATGTCTGTCATTGGGCACAACATGGCCAGTCTGGCTTAAGCCCTTCAACAGGATCTCAGTTAAAGCAGTTGAACTTGATATGTAAAGAAAGCCCAAAGGAATGCAGATCTTTGATATTTACCTCTTTGACAAACCAAGGACAAGGTGCAGACAAACCTGGAAACTCATGAGGGCAATATTGGGATACAAACCCTTGACTGAAGACTTCCAGTGTGCCCAAGGGAGGCAACTGTGCACAGCGAATGATAGTCTGAGTCCACTTGTGCCTCAGACTTGGCAACTGTCAATTAATTTTGATGATACATCCTGTCATGGATAGACTGTTCCAACTGTTAAATCTTTATGGGTTAATGTCTGTTTTAAAGGTTAAAGGCTGATGTGAGTTGACAGTGTACATTGATCTTTCAATGTGTGACCAGACCAGTGTTTCAAAGTTTCAAACCATCTTGGATTATCCCTAAAAACGAATATCCATGAACAATGATGAATATATTCCTTTAATCCGAATTCTGCCATGACAAAACAAGAATATATGGCACTTTTTTCATTGCTGAATGAAATCCTGTTTATATACAACAATGATTCACATAAGAAGTTTACAAATTATAGCATGGTACATCTAATGCTAAAGGTCATGTCGACATGGTAAATAACTGACGTGTATGTACATAATTAGTGACAGCATCAATGTAGATGAGTAACAATATAATGTATGAACACAGAAGAATAAACAATAACACTAAAATCTAATGATTTGAACCAAACATGATGTCACCATACAGAAACACAAACCTGCTAAAGTTCAGCTCCTCAACCATACAAGATAAGCTCAGAGAGCCAATATGCACTGAGACGCTGCAAAAGCAGATCAGGGTAAATGTTTACATACTGCAAAGAGTTTCAGTTAGAGTCAACTCAATTAAGACACTTCAGCCAGGTTTTGGTACAATTATACAAGATGGAAAACCAACAAACAACATCTTAGGAAAAGAAAACAGTATTCATGCAGAATTTCAAAATGAGGTTGAATGGTTTACTATAGTGATGTCTAGAACAAACTGATTTTCATGAAGTTACTATAATACATTCACACCAAGTTTAAGTCCTGTCTCCTCTGGTTCTCAAAAATATCTTTCAAAATTCATAAAATTTATTTCCTTAAAGCTTGTTACATAACATTGATGAATATTCACATATTAATACCCAACATCAATGAAGTATAACAAAAAGACAATTAGTGACAGCATCAATGTAGATGAGTAACAATATACACCAACAAAAATATACCATAACCCTAACATATAATGATCTGAACCAAACATGATGTCATAATACAGAAAAACAAACTTGCTAAAGTTCAGCTCCTCAAATATGCAAGATCAGTTCACAGAGTCAATATGCACTGATATGCTGCAAGAGCAGATCAGGGTAAACTGTAAAGACTTTCAGTTAGAGTCAACTCAACTAAGACACTTCTGCCAGGTTTTGGTACAAACATACAAGATGGAAAACTGACAAACAGCATCCTTGGAAAAGAAAACAGTAGTCTTGCAGAATTTCCAAATGAGGTTGAGTGGTGTACTATAGTGATGTCTAGAACAAACTGATTTTTCATGAAGTTATTATAATACATTTAATTCAAGTTTAAGCCCTGTGCCTTCTGGTTCTTTAAAACATCTTCAAAATTCATAAAATTTAATTAGCCTCAGTATTATTCATTACACTGCTATATGGTTAGGTCTACTAATGCCTACAGGGGAAAATAGCTACAAAGTTTATTGTGACAGCGATACTCTTACCTGCACACAAGTGGAATGCTCCAATTAGTGTGCACTAATGCCTACAGTGAGATTAGGGGAGTAAAGAGTAATTTTCCAGTTATGTTTTGAAAACTTACATGCATTTAATTTTAGAAGAACCTTCTCACATGAGAGGAAGACTGTGAGATGAGGTGAAATGGGGGTTTAATGTTGTACTTAAGAATATTTTGCTCATATGATGACGCATTTGCGTGTATGTGTGGCTGCTTGTACTAGTCCAGACTTAAGCTGGTTTTATTGTGCTAGCTCACTGAGATACCATGCCGCAGTTAAGCATGAAAACATTATACTGACTCCGAGCTGACCAGTCCTTGTTGTACCCATTAATGCCGAGCACCAGGCGGGGACCAACAAGTACCATATTTTAACATCTTTTGGTATGACGCGGCCGGGATCGAACCCGCTACCTACTGAGTCTAACAAACCCTAGTAGAAGGTCGCGTTAGCTAACCTTTGAGCGACCTATGACCGTCCAATCAAACACAAGACGGACAAACTGAACTAATCAGACAACAGCTACTATTTAGGGTTTAGCATGACTTACAAAATGTTTTTGGATTTTCTCTTCCCCAGTCGCCAACACTGATCTCTCCACAAACGAAAACAGATATTTGGCCTGCAGTTTATATGCTTAGAGGTTTCTGATGACATGATTACTATTAGTTTATATTTCCGCAAGATGACAAAAACGCTATTTTCAGCGACTGTTTACTCACTGTTGTGAATAATGGAGGCGATCGTGTGAGCATTCAAGGAAAATAGCATTCAAAATCGTAAAAGTTCAAACGCTTTCATGGTAAAAGTTCTAATGGTATGTCGCGAATGTTAACTTTTTGTGGCCCCACGTTTGCAATTTGGTAAGCTGTGTTCTGATTGGTCAATTCAAAAGGTTACCTAACGCAAGGTTAGAGTAGGAAGATATGACAACGCCTTCTTCTACTAGGGTTTGTTAGACTCAGTATAACAGTGTAACGAATAATACTGAGGCTAATTTACTTAGACTAGTATTTTATTCCCACCAATTATATTAAACATCGGACCCACTACTTATAATACATGGTCTCTGTTAATATATATAAATCTGTAAACATTACAACAAAGTGAAGAAGAGAAAATATTGCCTTTTCATTGTGTTATCAAGTGACATGTTTTCTTATGAGCTGACAGCTCTGGCCAACTGAACTCCTCCTTGCATACACAGGTGTACCTTTTCTGCTTAAAGTGGACTGTACGAATATGTATTCTTGCGCTATGAGCTCGGGTAAATGTTTTGTTACACAATGTGCAAGTTGTTCCATTGGTATATTTCTTTATCAACTGAGAGTTCGATGATTTCTTCACATCTGCTGTCCTCCGGCTGGAGGTGATCTCTTTAGGCTCGCCAATGACCTTTCTATGTGGGATCTCTTCGTCCTTGACCTTTGGCTCCTTTTTAGGCTCGCCAATGACCTCTCTATGTGGGATCTCTTCGACCTTGACCTTTGGCTCATTGCATGTCTCAAAATGGCAAAGCATGTTACTTTTAATTTGGAATGGTTTACCACAGTTACTGCAGGGATACCTTGGAGAATTGTAAGGCTCCTTTGTCCTGGAATTTTCTTGCATGAAGTGTTTCTTTTCAATTTCACGACTGGTGCTGCCTGCAGTAGTGGATGGCATACTGTTGTCCAAAACTACATTCAGTCTGTCCTCACCTGACTGCAACAGTGAGTGCAAACAGAAAAACAGATGTATTTCTTCAACAGCTGCACGAGGTGGCTATTATCACTTTCAATTTACTACTAGCTGGCAAACAGTTATTGCCATTTTTAGATGTTTTCTCACAATTTGCTCCATTGTTTCTTAATTTAATGAAACCAAATTTACCTTGATGATAGATACTGGCTAGCGAACAATTATCGCAGCGTAAGGGTTACATCAGTATCACACGTGTGCAGCTCCGGTCGATTACAATTCCAGTATTTTATCCCCATGGTATTTGACAACAATAAAGGACAGCAAAAGAAAATTCTTCACGGTAAGTAACATACGAGAAAAATTAAAGATAAAGTTATGAACCCTATAACACTTTTTTAACTTAGTCAGGGGGATGTCCCATGACCTATATAATAGCAAGTTCAAGTTCACAAGTCATTAATTGTTTCATTCCCTATCAATCTACTGTAAAAGAAACACTCAAATAGTCAAACAATCAATTATTCAAGTTTGCTATAAGATATAAATATATATATATATATTATTTCACGAATGGCATGAGAAATTCTAAATGGCGATAACTGTTACAGTTAGTTGTGGGAAAACATCTATTAATACTGCCATGATTCCCTTACGCCACGTTATATATAAAAACATGATCAGCGGCAGTGAACAGGCTGGACACATAGGTGAACAGCTGTGATTGGATGAATAGATGCAAGATATTGTATTGATGCTTTTCAAAAGCACATCCACAAAGTGATTAAACCTGACCACAATTTTAAGTATTTAATGCAGTCATTTTTATCACCATGACTTATGTTTAATGTGTGTACAGATATTTTCAAGTACGTGACATTTGGTGCGGAACTGGGGTTGATGTGTTCAACTTCCTGTGATCGGAAACTAGACTGGATAAGTTAGCTGGAATTTGTGTTTTTATTGTAATTTATTATTTTTATTCGTTTACTAAAACTTGTATAGCACCAATATCCAGCTCAACTGCTCAAAGGTGTTTTGTTTTCCCCTTGATCATTGGATGTCAATCTCAAACGGCATATCGTATTATCAATCTCAACTCCCTGAGGATCATACAACTCTTTAAAGCCACAAGGCACAACGAGTTAATGTGGCTTTTCTCATCCTTACAAGGTGCCCATTCACAGCTGGGTGGACTGGGACACATAGTCACAGTACTTTGTCCAAGTTCACTGCACGTTGCTGTACCTGCAACTAGGTGTTTGCACCATCTGGTCATTTACTAATGGATTCGTGGGTTCTTTTAAGTGCATGGTGTTGTGTATTGTACAATAGGGGTTGTGAAAAACTTGAAAAAGTCTGCACACAAAGTTGACTCCAAGGTTTTTACACCTGGTCACAGGTGGGCTTGATCCCAGCCCCTCAAACTTGCTGGATCACTAACCTGGGGCCCTTGATAGCTTGCCTACCATGTCCCCAGTTTAAAGGCTAGACTGTGCCCATGGAATGGCTGTTGACAGCCTGGATGATTTAAACAAAACAAGAAGACAAAGTCATCAATTTTGTCCCTGCAACGGCAAAATTGGAAATTTTAATATAAATTGTATATTTATATATTTATCCTATCTCACGACTTGCACCTCTCTCTCTTGCTTCCACTTTTAGTGGAACGACTGTAAACTTTTTCCAATAGGCCTCCTTGTCCATTCGCCTGTGCACTCCATGCTGCTCTCCTTCATTAGCTTCCTAGTTCCTAATAAAGCTTTGAGCATGCTCCACTAATTGCCCACATGACTACCTTGAATGATCATTCTCATCTTGGAGCCAACGTTGTAATCTGAGTAGTGGGGAGGCCGGGCGGGCATCCATCGCGTGAGATAGGATAAGTATATAAATATACAATATATTTTTAAATTTCCAAATTTTTAAACTTACCCTTCTGTCTGGACAGCGCGAACAGCTGGTCTTGGAGCTGTGTGGACTGATGACAACCGTAGATAGCGATGTACAAGGGAGGCCTGTTACGCATGCACGCAACTCCTATGCTTGTAGTGGGTTCTCCGGAACCCCTTGGCTTACTAAGCACAACGACTTCCAGGGAGATGGGTGCTCCTGAGTTATGTGGTGTTCGGCCGCAACCTTGTACAAGACAAGGGACGCAACTCGGCAAGTAAGCCTCGCCTCACCACGATTTATAAGGTACCCCAGTAATTAAAGTCTTGCGACTAGAATGGGGCCAGCCCCTGCTTCAAGAAGGCCCCCCAGACACCGACCGAGGCGGTTGAAAGAGAAACACAACTTGGCATCTCCAAGGTTTAACGTTCAGTTCCGGGCAGCATCATATCGACCCTCACTCCTTTGCCTAAGCTTAGTCAAAGGATGTGCCTGGCAACTTTGGAGGCAGAACACAACGAAATCCATTGGAATTCGGGAGTGTCACTTCACTGACGTAATTGCTCTGTGGAGTAGAGGTCAGTAAGCGTGAAGCTCGAACACCTCTGTCATACTGATTGTGCCACGCTAGGTGGCTGTATTCCGATGCCTTGGTATGGAGGCCAAGTGAAGTAGTTCTTAAACCCATATAATGAGAACAAAAGGTTGAGATCCAGTTCAACTTTTATTCAGTATATACAAGGAAGTAGTAACGCGAATGCGGAACCATCCCTCATCTGCGTTGTTGGGCCAATGTAAGCTGCTGAGCCAGTACAAGAGGTCCGAACTGGTGTAGTCCCTGGACATGCGTGACAGACAGGTCTCGCAGGTAATGTGAAGTGAAGACAGTATCAGAACGCCAGAAGCAACCTTCCATGATAGCGGTCAAGGAGCAGTTGCTATGGAGGGCCATCGTCGAGGCTAGTGCACGAGTCTCATGAGGATTGGAAGTGGCTGGAGGAGGCAACCCTGCAAAGGTGTAGGCTCGCAGGATCATGGCACGCATCCAGAAGGCCAATGTGGTCCGGGAAACCTCAGTTCTTGAAGCGGTTGACAAGGGTACGAAGAGGCACTTCTGTAGCCGTTGACGATGCTTGGAGGCAAGGTAAACGTGAAGAGCCCTAACGGGGCAGAGTGTCAAATCTTCATTATCCTCAGGCCCAAGAATGGTGGACAACGGGGAATGGTAAACATCCGGTCCGGGATGCTGGAGAAATTCAGCAACGACCTGAGCCGAGGTTGAAGTGGGAGATGCAATTCCTCTAAGCTTGCAATAGTCTTCAAACTTCTTCCACTTGTTATATTACAAGGAACGGGTCGAAGTACAATGCGATGAAGTGATAGCTGTGGCTATTCGGCGAGACTAGCCCTTAGCTACTAGAGACCTCTGAAGATGCGCTAAATGTGTAGATTGAGGGTCTGAGGTGACCTGTGGGACAGTTCCGAGTGAGGGTGAAGAAGTAGGTCGTCCCGGTTGGGAAGCGGTGGTGGGTTTGGTTCTGCCAGGCTTCTTAGGTTGACGAACCAACTTCTCGCTGGCCAGAAGGATGCGACCAACAGCAGTAGTATGTTGCTGGTGGCCAATAGTTTCTGTTTTACTTTTGGTAGCAGAGCTGAAGGGGGGAACGCGTAGGCATTGAGACCCTCCCATGATATCGCCAACGCGTCGAGGTCCCACGCCAAGGAGTCTGGGATTGGTGATACAAACTTTTGCAGTTGGTTGTTGAACCTTGTGGCGAACAGATCTATTTGAGGTCGTGATAACGGGTTAATCATCAAAGTACCTGTTCATCGGATGACCACAGCCCGGCCACTTTGTGGTTGAGGAAGTGAGCTCCCCAACCCATGAGGGATGCATCGATGAATAGGTGATTAGTCGGTGCAAAGGGCATCATAGAGACTCCGGCGCAAACATTCCGTTCGTCGATCCACCATTGAAGGACTGGAGGAAGCGGTTCTGGAAGGCAAATTAGTTCCTTGGGGTTGTCGGCCTGAAGGTACGGGGGTAGAAATGGCTGTATCGGCCGAAGTTGGAGCTGGCGTCTGTACGTTAAGGCTTGAGCTGATGTCAGAAGGCCCAGTAGCTCCTGCCACTGTCGTAAGGTTTTCGCCTGAGACAGTGCTGGAGGAATGCATTGCTGCATCTTTATCCACCTGTCGTGAGGTACGACATCATCCCCTGACAAGTGTCGAACAGTGCTCCGATGAATTAGAGTTTCTGAGTCGGTATTAGTTCCGATTTCGCGATGATCAACAGCCACTCTAACTGTCTGAGCAGCGTGGTGGTGAACTGTAGCTGGCGAAGCAATACGATCGGATCCTGTTGAGCCAGGATGCAATCGTCTATGTAGCTTACGAAGGTGATCCCTTCAAAGTGGAGGAAGCTCGTTATGGGCTTGGTAATTCGGGTAAAAAGCCACGGGGCCGTGGTAATTCCAAATGGTTGGACTTTCCATTGGTAGTGATTCCCGTTGAACACGAAGCGAAGGTACTTCCGGTGTTCTGGATGTATCGGAACCTGAAGATCTAGGCTGATGAGGAAGTCTCCCTTCTTCAGGATGGTGCATAAAGGTTGATCGACACCATCCTGAAGTGAGGCGGTGGAAGCAGGAATCGGGCATTGAACAACTTCATATTGAAGATGAGCCGGAGTTTGTTGGAATTTTTCTTTGGAACCAAGAAGATGGGGCAGTAGAATCCTGGAGTGACGAGCGATGGACCTAGGAGCTCTATTGCGAGTTTGTCTAATAGCATACCTATTGTGGATTGCAGAGTCTAAAGCTGGTCCATAGGATATGAGCGATGCGCCGGATGCGACGTCAGAGGTGGACTGCCAATAACGAGTAGCTGATAGCTGTGAAGTAGCAGGTTGGTGACGTACGGATCTTTGAGGATGGTCGAATTCGGGGTGTAGATCTGCAATCTCCTGCCTACCGGAGTGTTGTAAATCGGAACGACTGGGGCCGGGAGGTCCCAGTCGTGCGATTGTCTCAAGCCATCACTGCTTCCCGGCGCTGGTCCCTGGGCCAGAGTTGGTCCTGGGGGAGGGCGACGGAAGGAACCACCACGGCCAGATCTGTTTCCTCTGCCAGGGCCTTGAGTGGATGCGCCACGAAAAAGATTGCGTAAATCTGGATTGGTAGGGGTGAACTGTGCAGTTCGACGCTGTTTTAATGATTCCTGGAGCTGTGACTTCTGTATCTTTAACAGTTCAATCGAGACTTGAAAGTGGGTTTATTTATCAACTTTATTAGATACTTCTTGGATGCTACCATTGAAGAGGGAGTCAGTAAACCAAGGCTGGCGAAACAGTTCTGTTTTAAATCGCTCCTCCCATGAAGAGATGTAAAGGGGTCCACGTCGGCGAACAGCAAGAGTGTAGCCCAAAAAATGAGACAACTGATCCAGGATTATTTGGAACTGGTCCAGAGCTAAAGTCATGCATCCTGATGTAAGCGTCTTGATCAGAGTAAGTATGCTCCAAAGCAGTGTTAACAGCGTCGACTGCTGCAATCATGCAACTATTAGATGGCAACATCTTTCTCACGGCTGAATCCATGTGATCAAACTCTCGGTCCTCAATAAGGTAAGGCGAAGCAGCTTGCTTGCCACACAGGGTTCCAATATCCTCATCAACTGTTGGAGCTGTAGAGATTTTTGTTAGGCCGTGGACATGAGAGGTAGAAGGATTATATCTGGGAGCAGAGAATCCGTCCTTAATTCGTTTCAGGCTCTTGAAACCATCATTTAGTGTACTTGATAATTTCAGAATACAAGGTCGAGGTGGTAGGGTGATGGTAGACCAATCCCAGTTCCTAAGAGTATAAGAGTGATCCAGGTCATCTGCTGAAGTACTCAAGGGAAGTTGGAGCTTCTCAACAATCCAAAGGAGTACCTGAGGTGTCTCAACTGCTGCAAAGCTACCCCCAGGGGTAGATAACTCTGAGTGAGCGGGAGATACAGGCACGGCTATTTGGACTGGATCAATCTCAGGAGGTGAGGTGAGGTGAGGTGAAATTAGGTTTTACGTCTTGCTTGAGAATATTTCGATCATATGACATACATACATACATACATACATACTAACATTTGTATAGCGCCGATATCCAGCTCAGCTCTGCTGCTCAAAGGCGCTTTGTTTTTCCCTCGTTCACTGGATGTCAATCTCAACGGCACATCTTATTGTCAATCTCAACTCCCTGGGGAGCATACAACTCTTGCAGCCACTCTTGCAGCATGACGACGTGCATGCGTGTGTATGGGTATGTGCGGCTACTTGTACTAGCCCAGACTGAAGCTGGTTTTATAGTGCTAGCCCACTGAGATACCATGCCGCAGTGAAGCATGAATACCCCACTCAGAGCCGACCAGTCCTTGTTGTACCCAGTAATGCCGAGCGCCAGGCAGGGACCAACAAGTACCATATTTTAACGTCTTTTGGTATGACGCGGTCGGGGATTGAACCCGCGACCTTCCGCTCTCCGGGCGGACGCTCTAACCACTACACCACGGAGGCGGTCCAATCTCAGGAGGTGGACCAAATGAAGAACCAAGGGCTACCGAAGCCGGATGGGCTGGAGTAGAAGGCTGTATTTGGTTCCAGGCTAAGGTTATGGCCCTGATCATCATATTTAGATCCGGAGTCACTGTAGGAGTGGGATTGTTATCAGGTTCCTATGACTCAGTGATGATCCTAGAATGAGTCGAAGGATTCTCAGAGCGTGTAGACGGAACATCATAAGAGACTGTAGGCCTATCAGTGGTATCAGAGCAATGATCACCTGAACGTCGGTCAGAGGAACTGTATCGAGATCTCGACGTGGTAAGTACCGAAGTAGGTTGGTAAGCCAGTGATCTGGATTCCCTAGTATGGCTAGGTGATCCGGTATGATATGAAGAACTAGTCCGGGTCGCTGCAGTGATATTAGGGGAGTAAAGAGTAATTGTCCAGTTATGTTTTCAAAACTTAAATGCATGTAATTTTAGAAGAACCTTCTCACATGAGTTGAGTTGAGTTGAGTTGAGTTGAGGTGAAATTGGGTTTAACATCGTGCTTGAGAATATTTCGCTCATATGACGACGTGCATGCGTGCGTATGTACATGTGCGGCTGCTTGTACTAGCCCAGACTTAAGCTGGTTTTATTGTGCTAGCTCACTGAGATACCATGCCCCAGTGAAGCATGAAAACATTATACTGACTCCGTGCCGACCAGTCCTTGTTGTACCCATTAATGCCGAGCACCAGGCGGGGACCAACAAGTACCATATTTTAACAACTTTTGGTATGACGCGGCCGGGGATCGAATCCGCTACCTACTGAGTCTAACAAACCCTAGTAGAAGGTCGCTTTAGCTAACCTTTGAGCGACCTATGACCGTCCAATCAAACAAACGGACAAACTGAACCAATCAGACAACAGCTACTATTCAGGGTTTGGCATGACTTACAAAATGTTTTTGGATTTTATCTCCCCAGTCGTCGACACTGATCTCTCAACAAACAAAAAACAGATATTTGGCCTGCAGTTTATACGCTTAGGGGTTTCTGATGACATGATTACTATTAGTTTATATTTCCGCAAGATGACAAAAACGCTATTTTCAGCGACTGTTTACTCACTGTTGTGAATAATGGAGGCGATCGTGCGGAAAATAGCATTCAAAATCGTAAAGTTCAAACGTTTTCATGGTAAAAGTTCTAATGGTATGTGCGAATGTTAACTTTCGCAATTTGATAAGCTGTGTTCTGATTGGTCAATTCAAAAGGTTACCTAACGCAACCTTCTACTAGGGTTTGTTAGACTCAGTATAACAGTGTAACGAATAATACTGAGGCTAATTTACTTAGACTAGTATTTTATTCCCACCAATTATATTAAACACCCACTACTTATTACATGTAAATCTGTAAACATTACAACAAAGTGAAGAAGAGAAAATATTGCCTTTTCATTGTGTTATCAAGTGACATGTTTTCTTATGAGCTGACAGCTCTGGCCAACTGAACTCCTCCTTGCATACACAGGTGTACCTTTTCTGCTTAAAGTGGACTGTACGAATATGTATTTTTGTGCTATCAGTGCGGGTAAATGTTTTGTTACACAATGTGCAAGTTGTTCCATTGGTATAAAACCTTACCAACTGAGAGTTCGATAATTTCTTCACATCTGCTGTCCTCCGGCTGGAGGCGATCTCCTTAGGCTTGCCAATGACCTTTCTATGTGGGATCTCTTCGACCTTGACCTTTGGCTCCTTTTTAGGCTTGCCAATGACCTCTCTATGTGGGATCTCTTCGACCTTGACCTTTGGCTCATTGCATGTCTCAAAATGGCAAAGCATGTTACTTTTAACATGGAATGGTTTACCACAGTTACTGCAGGGATACCTCGGAGAAATGTAAACCTCTTTTGTCTTGGAATTTTCTTGCATGAAGTGTTTCTTTTCAATTTCACGACTGGTGCTGCCTGCAGTAGTGGATGGCATAGTGTTGTCCAAAACTACATTCAGTCTGTCCTCACCTGACTGCAACAGTGACTGCAAACAGAAAAACAGATGTATTTCTTCAACAGCTGCACGAGGTGGCTATTATCACTTTCAATTTACTACTAGCTGGCGAACAGTTATCGCCATTTTTAGTTGTTTTCTCACAATTTGCTCCATTGTTTCTTAACTTAATGAAACCAAATTTACCTTGATGATAGATACTGGCTAGCAAACAATTATCGCAGCGTAAGGGTTATCGCCAATACATCAGTATCACATGTGTGCAGCTCCGGTCGATTACAATTCCAGTATTTTATCCCCACGGTATTTGACAACAATAAAGGACAGCAAAAGAAAATTCTTCACGGTAAGTAACATACGAGAAAAATTAAAGATAAAGTTATGAACCCTATAACACTTTTTTAACTTAGTCAGGGGGATATCCCACGACCTATATGATAGCAAGTTCAAGTTCACAAGTCATTAATTGTTTCATTCCCTATCAATCTACTGGAAAAGAAACACTCAAATAGTCACACAATCAATTATTCAAGTTTGCTATATGATATATATTATTTCAGGAATGGCATGAGAAATTCTAAATGGCGATAACTGTTACAGTTAGTTGTGGGAAAACATCTATTAATACTGCCATGATTCCCTTACGCCGCGTTATATATAAAAACATGATCAGCGGCAGTGAACAGGCTGGACACATAGGTGAACAGCTGTGATTGGATGAATAGATGCAAGATATTGATGCTTTTCAAAAGCATATCCACAAAGTGATTAAACCTGACCACAGTTTTAAGTATTTAATGCAGTCATTTTTATCACCATGACTTATGTTTAATGTGTGTACAGATATTTTCAAGTACATGACATTTGGTGCGGAACTGGAGTTGATGTGTTCAACTTCCTGTGATCGGAAACTAGACTGGATAAGTTAGCTGGAATTTGTGTTTTTATTGTAGTTTATTATTTTTATTCGTATACTAATACTTGTATAGCACCAATATCCAGCTCAACTGCTCAAAGGTGTTTTGTTTTCCCCTTGATCATTGGATGTCAATCTCAAATGGCACATCGTATTATCAATCTCAACTCCCTGAGGATCATACAACTCTTAAAGCCACAAGGCACAACGAGTTAATGTGGCTTTTCCCATCCTTACAAGGTGCCCATTCACAGCTGGGTGGACTGGGACACATAGTCACAGTACTTTGTCCAAGTTCACTGCACATTGCTGTACCTGCAACTAGGTGTTTGCACCATCTGGTCATTTACTAATGGATTCAAGGGTTCTTTTAAGTGCATGGTGTTGTGTATTGTACAATAGGGGTTGTGAAAAACTTGAAAAAGTCTGCACACAAAGTTGACTCCAAGGTTTTTACACCTGGTCACAGGTGGGCTTGATCCCGGCCCCTCAAACTTGCTGGATCACTAGCCTGGAGCCTTTGATAGCTTTGCCACCATGTCCCCAGTTTAAAGACCAGACTGTGCCCATGGAATGGCTGTTGACAGCCCAGACGATTTAATTTATTGGACATCAATATCCCCCGCAATGGCAAAATTGGAAATTTTAATATAAATTGTATATTTATATATTTATCCTATCTCACGACTTGCACCTCTTTCTCTTGCTTCCACTTTTAGTGGAACGACTTAACTTTTTCCAATAGGCCTCCTTGTCCATTCGCCTGTGCACTCCATGCTGCTCTCCTTCATTAGCTTCCTAGTTCCTAATAAAGCTTTGCAGCATGCTCCACTAATTGCCCACGTGACTACCTTGGAGCCAACGTTGTAATCTGAGTAGTGGGGAGGCCGGGCGGGCATCCATCGCGTAAGAAAGGATAAGTATATAAATATACAATTAATATTAAAATTTCTAAATTTTTAAACTTATCCTATCTCATGACTTGCACTTATCCCACGGTTGACTGGCAGGCCGCAGATTACCCTTCTGTCTGGACAGTGCGAACAGCTGGTCTTGGAGCTGTGTGGACTGATGACAACCGTAGATAGCGATGTACAAGGGAGGCCTGTTACGCATGCACGCAACTCCTATGCTTGTAGTGGGTTTTCCAGAACCCCTTGGCTTACTAAGCACAACGACTTCCAGGTAGATGGGTGCTCCCGAAGCGATGTGGTGTTCGGCCGCAACCTTGTACAAGACAAGGGACGCAACTCGGCAAGTAAGCCTCACCTCGCCACGATTTACAAGGTACCCCTGTAATTAAAGTCTTGCAACTAGAATGGGGCCAGCCCCTGCTTCAAGAAGGCCCCCCAGACACCGACCGAGGCAGGTGAAAGAGAAACACAACTTGGCATCTCCAAGGTTTAACATTCAGTTCCGGGCAGCATCAAATCGACCCAGCATCAAATCGACTAAGCTTAGTCAAAGGATGTGCCTGGCAACTTTGGAGGCAAAACACAACGAAATCCATTGGAATTCGGGAGTGTCACACTTCACTGACGTAATTGCTCTGTGGAGTAGAGGTCAGTAAGCGTGAAGCTCGAACACCTCTGCATTGTCATACTGATTGTGCCTCAGGTCCTTAGGGCCACGTTAGGTGGCCGTATTCCGATGCCTTGGTATGGAGGCCAAGTGAAGTAGTTCTTATACCCATATAATGAGAACAAAAGGTTGAGATCCAGTTCAACTTTTATTCAGTATATACAAGGAAGTAGTAACGCGAATGCGGAACCATCCCTCATCTGCGTTGTTGGGCCAATGTAAGCTGCTGAGCCAGTACAAGAGGTCCGAACTGGTGTAATCCCTGGACATGCGTGACAGACAGGTCTCGCAGGTAATGTGAAGAGAAGACTGTATCAGAATGCCAGAAGCAACCTTCCATGATAGCGGTCAAGGAGCAGTTGCTATGGAGGGCCATTGTCGAGGCTAGTGCACGAGTCTCATGAGGATTGGAAGCGGCTGGAGGAGGCACCCGTGCAAAGGTGTAACTTTGCAGGATCGTGGCACGCATCCAGAAGGCCAATGTGGTCCAGGAAACCTCAGTTCTTGAAGCGGTCGACAAGGGTACGAAGAGGCGCTTCCGTAGCTGTTGACAATCCTTGGAGGCAGCAAGGTAAACGTGTAGAGCCCTAACAGGGCAGAGTGTCAAATCTTCATTATCCTCAGGCCCAAGAATGGTGGACAACGGGGGAATGGTAAACATCCGGTCCTGTTGCCCTGGCAGTTGGTTTTTCGCAATGAAGTCCCAGCGGAGACCCAGGGAAGCCTTGCCATGCTCCTTCCGCTTGAACCACACCCGATTGACATCAAGCGCATGCAGTTCAGATATATGAGCAGCGGTAGCCAAAGCTACCAGGAAGAATGTCTTGAATGTCACTTGTTCGAAGTCCTTGTCTTCTTAAGGTTCATAATCTGTAGAAATCATAAGACAAAGGACGACGGACAGATCCCAGGCCATGGGTCTGATCTTCCTGGACTGGTCAGAGAGTCTATAGGAGCGTAGTAGACTCTGCAACTCGGGAACAGTGGAAATCTTTGTGCCCGTGGTGGTAGCCAAAACTGAGTTAATGGCGGCTAAGTAGGTAGCTAACGTAGTACCCTTGAGTTTCTTAGTAGTGCGGAGATGCTGGAGAAACTCAGCAACGACCTGAGCCGAGGTGGGAGATGCAATTCCCCTAAGCTTGCAATAGTCTTCAAACTTCTTCCACTTGTTGTATTACAAGGAACGGGTCGAAGTATGATGCGCTTAAGTGATAGCTGTGTCTACTCGGCGAGACTAGCCCTTAGCTATGAGAGACCTCTGAAGATGCGCCAAACGTGTAGATTGAGGGTCTGAGGTGACCTGTGGCGCAGTTCCGAGTGAGGGTGAAGAAGTAGGTCGTCCCGGTTGGGAAGCGGTAGTTGGTTTGGCTCTGTCAGGCTTCTTAGGTTGACGAACCAACTTCTCGCTGGCCAGAAGGGTGAGACCAAAAGCAGTAGTATGTTGCTGGTGGCCAATAGTTTCTGTATTACTTTTGGTAGCAGAGCTGGAAGAGGGAACGCGTAGGCATTGAGACCCTCCCATGATATTGCCAACGCGTCGAGGTCCCACGCCAAGGAGTCTGGGATTAGTGATACAAACTTTAGAAGTTGGTTGTTGAACCTTGTGGCGAACAGATCTATTTGAGGTCGTGATAACGGGTAGATCATCGACTGAAAGATCTGGGGCAGTAACTTCCACTCTGTCTGGGACGATCGGTTGGATCGGGACAAGGCATCAACAGTTCAATCGAGACTTGAAAGTAGGTTTATTTATCAACTTTATAAGATACTTCTTGGATGCTACCATTGAAGAGGGAGTCAGTAAACCAAGGCTGGCGAAACAGTTCTGTTTTAAATCGCTCCTCCAATGAAGAGATGTTAAGGGGTCCACGTCGGCGAACAGCAAAAGTGTAGCCCAAGAAATGAGACAACTGATCCAGGATTATTTGGAACTGGTCCAGAGCTAAAGTCATGCATCCTCGGATGTAAGCGTCTTGATCAGAGTAAGTATGCTCCAAAGCAGTGTTAACAGCGTCGACTGCTGCAATCACGCAACTAATAGATGGCAACATCTTTCTCACGGCTGAATCCATGTGATCCAACTCTCGGTCCTCAATAAGGTAGGGCGAAGCAGCTCGTTTGCCACACAGGGTTCCAATATCCTCATCAACTATTGGAGCCATAGAGATTTTTGTTAGGCTGTGGACATGAGAGGTAGAAGGATTATATCTGGGAGCAGAGAATCCGTCCTTAATTCGTTTCAGGCTCTTGAAACCATCATTTAGTGTACTTGATAATTTCAGAATACAAGGTCGAGGTGGTAGGGTGATGGTAGACCAAGCAGGCATGGCTATTTGGACTGGATCAATCTCAGGAGGTGGACCAGATGAAGAGCCAGGGGCTACCGAAGCCGGATGGGCTGGAGTAGAAGGCTTTATTTGGTTCCAGGCTGAGCTTATGGCCCTGATCATCATATTTAGATCCGGAGTCACTGTAGGAGTGGGATTGTTATCAGGTTCCTATGACTCAGTGATGATCCTAGAGTGAGTCGAAG